GCCGTTAATGAGGCTGTCACGCATCCCTAATTCACTCATGCGGCTTTGCAATTTTCTCGAAGCGTCGCACAAATCTACTCTCTGTGAGACATTGGAATAAATTGCAGGATAATTGATGGCCAGCATAATTCTTGCCAGCAAGTTAATTAATTAATGTATTAAATAAATTGAAGCTAACATATACAACCAATTGTTAGCGTGCTCATCCAGCATTGTGGAGAGTAAAGAGTCGACTGGCACGGCTGCCGGGCACTAGGTAAAAAGTACAAACAACCCACTTAGTACATACTGTCACGCCAGTGGCATTTATAAGTTGCGATAATAGCGAAGGGACATAAAGCTGTGCTAATAGTTTCCTCATGCACGTAAACAAAAATATTATCCCCGTCGCGAAGCGTAGCGGATTACCACGGGATAGCTAGAACTTACACTCCCTACGGGAGAGAGAATTATGCATTAACACTCTACGTACGCTGAAATAAATACAGCATACTAACACTGAACCAGGGGTCAGTATGTGTCGATGAAGTCTTGCACTCTTCAACATATTTAGAGTGGGTGTTTCTGAAGCGCGTTTTTTTAATAATCCTATATAGATTCTGCTCATAAATTAGATGGGCACCGTCGGAAGGGTAAATACTACGTGTATTACACAATTACACTGACGTCACACGTACATTACCGAGTAATGTATCAATATAAAGGACGCATCACGTAAATTCTAGTGAATTGTATAGTCTTTACAATATCACAACTATCATTACTTTTGCAATGCAAATATTAGATCACCACTAATAACCCCATATGCAGACATAAAATTGTGTTAATTATTTTCTATCATAGTAAGATAGCGATCATAGTCGTTTTTTATCAGCGTGTTTCAAACACATTGTCTGCCTAATGCTGTGCTATGTATGGATACGCTGATGCATGCTGGGAACGCATTCTTTCACTTCTGCTGTGCAGTCATTGACAGATAGAGCCATGAGAATAGTTCAGCGAGATGTCCAACGTTAGAACTCACAATTTTGTAATTTACTCACAAATGATAAAAATCGATTGCCAGTGGCTACAGTGAGAAAATTACCATGAACGTTCATGACGTATAATTTGTCATAAATTGATTGTACATTTCTGACCAGATGTGCATTTCTCTTCAAAGAGATTAGGCATGAGATTTTTTAATCATAGCTCCAATAGCTTTTTTAATCATAACCCAGCAGGCTCTTTCCGTTGTTGTTAGTTCCAATTCCGTGTTCCGTGTTCATACGTTTGTAATATGTGAATCATTTGTAATTGACGCATTTCTGGGTGGTATCGTGCTCTGACATGTCACACGTTGGCAGAAACAACTTGAACGAAAGAGACAGCGTGCGGAAAATATTAAATATGTATATATAATATTTGACGGTATGCATGGTGACACATGTCACTGTCTGATAACAACGCTTTTATTGTGTAGTAGTAGAAGCTCGTTATTATTGCAGATTATAGTGATTATATAGGTGGAAATGTGGTCACCTGTCTACATTGTCTACATTGTCTACATTCACTGCTGCTTCCAATAAGACATCAGATAAACATCTTTAACGGGTCGCAACATCAATTTCCCATCTTTAACAAAATATTGAAGTTTTTATATATATATATATACGTTCTGTCGCAACACGATAGAAATAAAACAAATGTTACTGGTTTAGTTTAGTTTAGCGGAATATAAGTTAGATAGCGCGTACTTGGTTGAATCAGATGTACGCCAGAATTTACATGAATACCAGTATTATTCATGCCGTAAAAGTGAGATTATTTTTGAAAAGTTGTAAACGCATATCGCCTGGAACTAGTATTACTTATTTGTGAGACTGCAATCCCATATGCCCTGGATTCATTGTATGACTGTTTACTAATTTGGTTGAGAGCACGCTGAGAGCACATTGCAAAGTTTATAATCTTTCCTATGGCAATTGACTTGTTATTGGCATGTTAACCCTACTTTCGGCACCTCATTACAATGACAATTCAAAAATCGACGATACTTGTAAAATGTCAGATTTACTTAACGCTTAAAATCGGGTAAAATATTTCCAGTACTTATTGATAATTGCAGTTTTTTGTCTATTTTATGACGAATACAATTACAACCAATTTAGCAATATATTGAGAGAACGCGTAATTAGGTGCAGGTTATTTTAAACTGCACTCCAGGTAGTTCAATTGATGTAATAATTATATATTTAGTTCGTTATGATGCAGAACATAGTCGACTTATTATCTGTTGTCGCTTTATGCGTCTTGATAAGATCGGAGTAGCTTAGGTACCACAAATCAATTTTCTGTGTTCCAGAATAAACCATTTACCCAGTACGTTTAATATGATTAGCTCAAATACAGTCCAACCAAGCAAACATAATTCTCACATCATGCATAACGTTTCAGTAGTAAGGTAATACTGTTGAAATATGTTGGTATACCGGTAACATTTTTATATCATTAACTGACGTGACACAATGGTACTTGAGCTCGATTTTTACTGATACATGATTTAATGGGTATACAGACTTATATCCGATTACTGTACAATGTAAACTGAGTGATTACATCCATGTAGCTCTGAATTCGTCATTATTTCCCCGAGAAACTTTAAGGAATACGGTGGCAGTACAACTATGAAATACTGCCACGTTGTTTCACTGATGAACTGGCATCGGCGATGTGAGTACTGCAGCAGGATTGGCTTCATCATTTATTTAAAAGAACACTACAGAATACATTTTCTAAGTAAAAAATAATTCATTTGTTTTTAGCACTATTTAAATTGCGCTTACTGAGCCGGCTTCCTTTAACTTACTCTACACAACAAAAGTCTGAAAATGATTTAGAAACTAAAAACAAGTTATCACTGACACAAAGCAAAACGAAAGCCCATTATTTATTTGTTTCCTACCAGTAAATTTTGTCAGCGATACTTTATTTTATGCGAGTACCTCGGCACCACGGATATTGTTTATTTATATAAACTGCTGGACAAAAATACGTCAGACACGAATTGTACATGGATTTAGTTTGACTATTAGGTCATGTGGGGCGAGCAACATTTTGGTTTGTTTGGTGATTTACTAAAACAATAATTATAAGTTTATTAAAAGCACATTCGGTTTAATAATATCAATATCTTATATCAAACGAGTACGCGTGTTTATAAATACCGGAGGATGATTAGTGTGACATCATGCATTTAGAGTAATCAACGTCGACCAAGTCTATAATTATCATCAGCTACATTGTCTCTGATGGTCTCTTTGAGTCAGTGTATCTTATATCTGAACTCCGCTTCATTTTGGTTCATTTAATTAAAAACACAAACTGTGTCACTGTCAAATTGTCGAGCAGCACTAATTTCCGCTGTACATGGTTTTGCGAATGACGTTTGATTGCGTACGGAAATGGGATGTATTTATACGTATGTCATGCCCTCGTTTAATGCGACACACAGACTCACTACTATATTCGTGTTAGTTTAAATAAACGAGACTCTGATATAAGTAATACATTGTGCATCGAGATGTACAGCTACAGACTGGATAATTCTTTATTGCTCTAAACAAACGCATTAGCCATATGGTTTATATGATCTATGTCTAAACTAAACTTAGACCTATCATGATTGATTTCAAGTTGAAATATTCGCTTGGATTTCTCAGATCAAACCCGTAAAAACAGTCCAGTAATCGGTTTTTACAATTCTGTCATTAACACACACCACCGTCATCGAAACAAGTAGTTATATACCTCGAGATGTTCCAAGATATACCACCCACAAGATATATACCACGAGCTACACTATATATACTACGAACTGCAAGATATATACCACGAGCTACACTATATATACTACGAAATGCAAGATATATACCACGAGCTACCGCACTATATATACCAACCACAAGATATATACCACGAGCTACACTATATATACCACCCACAATATATATACCACGAGCTACACTATATATACTACGAAATGCAAGATATATACCACGAGCTACACTATATATACCAACCACAAGATATATACCACGAGCTACACTATATATACCACCCACAGTATATATACCACGAGCTACACTATATATACCACCCACAAGATATATACCACGAGCTACACTATATATATACCACGAACTTCAAGATATATACCACGAGCTACACTATATATACCACACACAAGATATATGCCACGAGCTACACTATATATACCACGAACTGCAAGATATATACCACGAGCTACATTATATATACAACATACTCCAAGATATATGCCGCACACAACGTGATATATATTCAAAGACCTACGAGGAAACGCCGAACAGCGTTATTAAGGAATGCAAACAAATATCTGAATACATGTAAATAAACAAATTCTTATCTCGTTTTATTTTATTTACACAACATTTCCGTATGTTGTTAAAAGTAGTATACTGAGCCAGCTTCTAAGATGCATTAATCGTGGATTGTCACCGGTTAATTTACATTCCTATTTATGCAAGCTATTTTGAGATATTCAAAGCATGCACTGCAAGTAAATTCACATAGCACGATAGCGGTTTTATCGGTAAAGACATGGGCCACAACCAATCTCTACAAAGTACATTAAAATTGCACATCTTGACAAATCCTGACGTTTTGGGGGATAACAAACAAATGTGATTCACTTAAATACACTTTAAATTCAAATTACCTACT